CTTGGAGCTTGCTGAGAAATGAAGACCACCCCCAGAGGAGATGTGGCTCAAGTTGAAGCTCACCTGTAGCCTCTTTCCCCTCTCTTGCAATCAAGTGCTTCTCTGGGCCAACCATTAAAGCCAATTCCCAAGGAAAGCCTACCTTTCCCACCTCTCCTCCTTGCCCCACCCCTCTTTCCACCATCCTCACCCCCGCAAACCCTGCTACTAGACCCAGTACATTGTGAACTCTAACACTGAGCTAAATAAACCTCTAAGCTTTTCTATTTGGGTGTCACTGGGACTTTCATGATGAACTTTAGGGGCAAAAGGAGAAATGGACTAGTGGATCCTCTCCTGAACGTCCCTTCTGCCTGGACCTGGGTCCCTCCCAGAGTCTCAGTGCTCAGGTGCTGGTTGCTGGGAGCTCCCTCTCCTTTGGTGTGTAAGCCTTTCCAGGGTCTTGAGCCCAGCCAGGAGAGGCCAGGATGCAGGATAAATGGAGAACAGACAAAGAAGAATGCAAACAGGATGGTATTACCATGTTAATGGCCTGTGCAGGGCAGCCTCCTGAAGATGCTGAGAGGGTTTGTTCCTCTGACTATTTTTTTCTTTTCTCTGAAGAATAGTTCCGCTTTCTATTATTTTACTACAACAATAGCATGGAACAGCTCCTTCAAGTATGTCAAAAAGCAGCCTGAGAAATCTCTTAGCAGCCCCTCAGTCTCTCCAGCCTGCCGTTTTATTGTTCCTCCATCCCAGTGAACAAAGCGGGAGGAAGGGTATAAGGCCCCCAGTTGCTGGCTGTTCTCAGCATCCTAATCCTTGAGAATCAGTGAGGGGAGTGGCCTGTGGAGCTGGTAAAGCAAACGTACCTCACCTTTTATTCCTGCTCCTGCTCTACACTCATGACCTCCTCAGGTATTATAAGACCTCCTGGTTAGGAGATCAGTAGGAATCCTGGGACTTGCTCAGATGGATTGGGACTTACTAAGGGGATAAAAGGACTGAGGGATCATTCCCACATTCACTAACAGTCCCGCTCACTCTGCATTTCCCAAGACGAGCCTGTGGAGAGGGTTCCTCCCCTACTTCCAAGCTGGTTCCATCACCGACTGAACTACAGAGCTCTAAGTGGTTTCATAGTCAGTGTGTCAGGAGCTGCCTTTATTCCTGCAGCCGATCCTCCGTTGTCTCTATGCCACTCAGACATAGATATGCCCCAGAGCTCGAGTACCATCCTCTATACTGACTTACAGCTATCCCACCAGAACAGCGCCTCATAGCAGGAAGGCATCTTTGCCTTTGGCTGCTGGTCCCTCTCCAAGGCCACCATCCAGGGATCAAAGATGTATTTGCTTTAAATCCAGGGAATTGCACAGGTGTCTTTTAGCTTTATCAGCTGGTAAGAGTAGGGAGAAACAAAAGAATAAAAACTCTAACTTTTCATGTTCCAGTGTATGGAGATCTCAAGGGACCAGTTCTACTGAGAATGGTAAGTACATACCAATACCTTAGAGAATCCAATAGAGCGGAGGTGAGAAGGCCAGTGAGATTGCTCCAGAGGCTGTTACAATCCCAGTAAGACAGACATTTACTACAACCCGAATAGTAAAAAACAAAAACCCCCAAACAACTCAATGCTCTTGAGTTGGTTTCACCTTACAAAGACGCGTCCAGGCTGTAAATTGTAATGCGAGGAGGCTGCACATTTTTCTTCCTCAAAGCTGCTGGTGAACTCTAACCACCAGAGATGTGGAATCTTTTAGTTAACAGTGCAACACTGTGATCACACAACCAGAATTTATTTCTTCCTACTTTTTATAAACCAATATAATAAGTACTATCTTCATATATTTTCAATCTATATGTGGAACAGAGCATCTGGAAAACTTGGTTCTATGAGGAGGAATGTGGCATCAGGATTTGAGGAAGACTTAACAACAACATACGTTAATGCAGATGACACAACCTTGTTTGCTGAAACTGAGGTGGACCTGAAGCACTTGCTGCAAAAGGTCAAGGGCTACAGCCTTCAATATGGATTGAAGCTCAACATCAAGAAAATAGATTTTCACCACTGAGCTGATTGGCAGCATCATGATAGATGGTGAAGAGATTGAGATCATTAACAGCTTCAGCTTGCATGGTTCTTCAATCAACACTCTTGGCACTAGCAGCCAGGAAATCAAAAGACAAATTGCACAGGGAAAGTTTGATGTCAGGGACCAGAGTACTGAAGAGCAACAATGTAAGTCTGGAGACTAAGGTGTGCCTGATGCAGGCCATGGTCTTTGCAATAACTTGTTATGCATCAGAAAGGTGGACAATGACTAAAGAATGCATCAGAAAGGTGGACAATGACTAAAGATGATAGAAGAACATTAATGCCTCTGAGCTGTGGTGCTGGAGAAGAGTATTGAACGTACCATGGACTGCCAGCAGAACACACAGGTTTGTTCTGGAGAGGGTGAAATCAGGCTGCTCCTTAGAGGCAAGGATTCTGAAGCTCTGTATGACATATGTTGGACATGTTGCAAGGAGGGACTAGACCTTGGAGAGGGCCATCATGCTTGGGAGGGTGGAGGGACAGCACAATAGAGGAAAACCCTTGATGAGAGGGAATGACTCAGTGATTAGGGTAATGGGGGTAGGTGTGTCAGAGACAATAAAGGTTGACTCAGAATAGAGCAGGGTTCAGAGCTATTGTACATAAGGGCACTATAAGTCACAAGTGACTCCATGGCACATAACAACAACAACAATTCATTGCCATCAAATCAGAAGAGTCTCGTAGCTGGCCCTTAGAGCTGGTTTTCAGAGACTGTGACTTGCATGGGAGGAGAATGTCTACCTTTTTCCAGTGGAGCAGCTGGTAGATTTAACCTTCTTAATGTTGGGTTGTCTGTGCAATTCTTTTCCATTAGGCCACCAGAGCTCCCTAATATAAAAATCCATAATTCATTCTCTCTCTCTCATACACACACACACACTCACAGTAAATATTTCATGACATAGCACAACATATGTGTTAGAAGTGAATATTTTCTATTCACTTCTACTATTTCTTTCTTTCTTTCTTTCTTTCTTTTTAAAAAGCTAGTTTTCAAAGATTTTTTTTCCAAAAATTGCACTAGGAAAAACAAAAATTTAAGACTGCACCAGAGCTGGAGGTGAAATGCAAGTGTTTTCAATAAAGAAGGGTCATCATTTTAAATTTTAAATTCTAGGGAGCTGAAACCTTTTCTGTTTCTCTCAAGTCTTAGGAGCAACACAACCAGAATAAAGGAGGGCCTGGAAAGCCTGTAGTAGCGCCATTGTCGGCAATCAAGGCAGAAGGGTTCCATCTGCCCCAGCAAACCTCAGAAAGAGACATGTGACTTTGGAGGCGGGATTGGGGACTTCAGAAAACAGTCTGGAAAGCAGCCAGGTGAGGTTCCAAAGGTTCTTGTAAGGGGTTCTTGTATCAGAAAAAATTTTCTGTATTTTTCTCCTTTCTTGGACGTACACTTTCAGGCCAGCCTCTTCTAGTAAATCATTGTGTTCTACTTTCTAATAATTTCTTCTTGTCATTTACAAAACCTCCATCAATTCATTGAATCTCCAGTTTGTTTTATCTAAACAACTTTAAGCTCCATTTATGGGTTTCCAGTTCCTATTTTATCTAAACAACTTTACGTTCTTTCCTGTCAAAAAGGCATGGGCTTAGCAACAAGCATCAACCAGACAAATCTGTGATGCTTCCCCCATAAATGCTATTCCAAAACTTATCCATGTTAGTCCAGGCTGAGAAATGGTGTTTGCCAAAATACCCAAGAATCAAGATATAGGAATCAAGTCATGCCTCTTGATAAGTTGTTTGCAGGTTGTTTCAGCCGAATGGGACCTCTTTCCCCTCCCTGAAATCGACTCAGAATCTTCCTTAGAATTTCTTAAAATCCTCATCTAAATTTGTTACTTACTAGAATTCTAATCTGTTAAGAAAGCTTCTAAAAATGAAGGGCTGAATGCCACACTGAGCCCTAGGTAAATACAAGCCCTGCTTTCTGATGGTTTACTAGTGCTCCACCCTTAGAGAGCCTGTGACAAAGGGGCCTGCTGTTTGCTTTGCTTAATCTGGTCTTAAAAATCTCTGCTTCTTTGTCAGAAAACAATATTTGCAATTGTTAAAAAAAATATTTACCAAGGAACTTGGATAGCATAAGTCAAAGGCTAAGAGCCAAAGGTCAGTAGTTCTTACCCCAAATTTCCCTGGTCTTGAGAATCCCTGCTGTGGAGCTGAGCTCCACCAAACACATTGCTCTCTGGGTCCATTAAGAAGCAGACATTTGAGAAGGGGAAGGAAAAGGAAGACTGCAGTCTGCTCCTCAGGCAGAGGTATGAACTCTCCAGCCCTCCAGACAGCTGGCCCCACAAAATCCCTGCAATGGAGACCATTGCAAAGGGACAGTGCAGGGGCTCACCTGGTTGGATCAACTCTTAAAAGGCAATAGTTCTTCACTCAGGCAGCGGTGGCAATGCACTCCCTGCTTCCCTGTGGTCTAGGCCAGATGATCATCTATGTATTTCCGAGTGATGCCTCTTGCCTGACACCAGGGGACAGAACTATATCCTGAGAGCCCCTGTGGGGAACTTTAACTTACCAGGGCAGATGGCATAGACTCCAACGGGCCGATTCATCTAAGTTCAATGATGTTTGCATTTAACCCCTCATGTTGTTTGTTGAACAGGCCTACAGTTAACCACCACTTACCACTAGAGTAGCTAGCAACTAGGACAGAGTCACCATTTGTCATGAACTCCAAGTCATTGGGGTGCTCCACTTTGAGCAAAAACTCAGCTTCTTCCAAGTCCCAGGCCTATGTCATAAGGCACAGCTCAGCAAGGCCTGGTCTGCAGAAGGAAGGCCCCATTATTTGAAAACAAGGAAAGAAAATGGAAGGATAGAGAAGGATACAGGGCAAGTAGGGCTCATGGAATTCTGATAAAGTAACACATAGGCTGACAATCCTGATGTTTCTTCAGCCTGTTAAGTAGTAGCGCTCTGAGGCAGCGGTGACTCCTGTATACGAGGTGTGAAAAACTCACTGCACAGACCTGTCAGGAGGACTAGCGTGGACCCAGTTCTTAACTTCCTTGCATTGAAACTCATTCTTTGGTTGCCTCACTGTTAGGAAATTCTATAGTTCATCTTCAACCCAACCTCAATCTTCTGCCAAATTGCTGCTGTAACTGTTAATATCCTTTATCTCAGCAGGATACATATCACTGGTCAATTCATCTGGTCTTTCATTCTGTCCTAAAGCAGCTTCTATCAGGATGATAGAGGCAATCACCACCAGCAGTGTCAGCTTTGAGCAGTGAGTAGCTTAAAGAAGTGGCTTTTGCCAAGGAATCTTACCTTGAAGAACCAGGCCTTCCTCCTTGATGGTGTAGACAAATGAAGTAAAAGGAGCCAGAGGTGACTTTGCAATAAGAATCTGCACACAAAGCATATTTTCACAAGTTAGTCAAAGGAGACATTAGGAATGAGCATAAATTCAACCAATATCATACCAAAACGTTGAGACAAAGTAGTAACATACAATGTAAGCATAAGGTTTGCTTTTTTAAAAAAACCCAACAAAAGAACGTAAACAAAAACAAAAACTATTTTAAAACTAAATTAATAACCTGAAAAGCTATATACTTATTCTTCCATTGAATGCTTCTAGCAGTAAGTCTCATTATTTTGTCATCCACTCAAACAACTACTTTTCCATCCATACATAAACCAACACTAATTCTCTAATTTTATGCATTAGACTTAGGTATTTACTTACCCAAACCCCAAATAGATCCTTAAAAGAGCATTTGGCAGTTTTGTAATGATCTAGTCATCTTGCATTTTGTGATCTGATAAAGTAATTTTCTATTTTCACATTACATTGATTTTCACATAATGATCTGATTTGTCTTTGGAATCTAACCCAGTCGTTAAGCAATTTGTTAAAGGCAATGCTAGCAATGGTGTGTGTTAATCTCAATTCTTCACTCCTGTCTGCATTCATACCCTTTGCCATGTAACTGCATATCTTGTGACTAAAGGGGTAGAGTGTCTCCCGGGACCCTTGACTGTAGGATGTAAACAGGCTGGAGCTATCAGAGAGCTTCACTTATGCCCACCTGTTCACTTATGTTCTGCTATAGCCACCTCAGCATCAAGAAAACAAAGATCCTCACCATTGGGCAATTGGCCACATCATGATAGGTAGAGAAAAGATTGAGGTTGTTAACAACTTCATCTTGCTTCCAAAATAAACACCGTTGGTACCAGTAGTCAGGAAATCAAAAGATGAGTTGCGTTGGAAAAATCTGCTGTCAAAGACTTCTTCAGAGTGCTAAAAAGCAATGGTGTCAGTCTAGAGACAAAGGTGTATCTAATCCAGGCACCTGATTCAAGCTAAGGTTGGCTCAGCTCAAGTTACTATTTCCATCTGTGGGGGCAAACCAATTGAAGAAATAAGCCCCTAAAAAAGCAGGCACTCATGGGATAGCTGGATGGCAACCTGGAAAAGGAGCTGTGTTACCAACACCCAAGGTAAGTGGGTCGAGGAGTCTTCTCAACTGCTTGCTATGCATCTGAGAGCTGGACAATCACTAAAGATGACAAAAGAAGAATCAATGCCTTTGAGCTGTGGTGCTGGAGAAGAGTACTATCAAGAGAATAAAGATATCTGCCCTAGAATGAATGAAACCAGGTTATTTCTAGGAGGCAAGGATTTTGAAGCTCTGTCTCATATACTTTGGCATGCAGAAAGGAGAGACCAGTACTTGACGAAGGACATCATGCTTGGGAGGGTAGAGGGTCAGCACAGGAGGGGAAGACCCTGGATGAGATGGGTTAACACAGTGACTGTGGCAATGGGGTCAGGTGTGTCAGAGATGGTGAGGTTGGCTCAGGATAGGGCAAAGTTCATAGGTTCATAGAACAGTTGTTCATAGGGTAGCTATGAGTTGTAGTTCACTTGATGGCATATGACAACAATAACAACAACAACAACATGGTTAGAGAAAAGTAAGTCCAAGCTAGTCTGCTTTTCCAGAAGGATGATGACAGTCTCCTAGCAGAGGGTTGGCCAGTGGGCCCAGCCAAACTCCAAAAATTCATGTGCATTTGAGTTAAATGTTTACTGTTGTATGCCTCTGAGATTTGGTAGTTGTTTCAAAGCATTATTATAGCAAGAGTTGATTAATACAGTTGTTGTTGTTATGTGCCGTCGAGTCGTTTGTGACTCATAGCGACCCTATGTACAACAGCCCTAAAACGTGCTCTATCCTGTGCCACTCTCATTGCCTCTGACACACCCATCCTGATTACCCCAGTCACTGAATCAATCCACCTCACAGAGGGTCTTCCCCTCCTGCGCTGTCCCTTTACTCTACCCAGCATGATGTCCTTCTCTAAAGATCTGTCTCTCCTTACAACACGTCCAAAGTATGTCAGACGAAGCCCTAGAATCCTTGCCTCCAAGGAGCAGCCTGGTTCAACCCTCTCTATGATGAATCTGTTTGTTTTCTTGGCAGTCCATGGTACATTCAATA